AGTATTCAAAGTAACTAGTATAATAAATAATAATAATATAACTGTTCCGTTTTTCATCGCTGAAAACAAAATGCATGACGTTAATGCGTACATTTCACAGAATATTTCTCCTACATATTTATTTAAATAAAAAAAAAACTAACGAGACGAGACATGCAGTTGCAATTTTAAACTTCAATCCTAAAGGTGCTCACCGGGAGCATTCACGAGTAATGTAACATTATAGATTCGACTTTGAGCATTACATTACAATAATACCTCCCTGACTAACGAGCATTCACATATAGCTTCGACTTTGAGCATTTCATAGCAAGATGTCAGACGAAGCGGGCGGGCGGGGAGCTGGAGGAGCGCAATGATGTTACAAGTTGTATCATTATATTACACATTGTATCATTACAAGGTGCGCATTGTAATGCTCGGTTCTCCTCCTTCACTGATGTAATGCTCAGATCTGTAATGTTACATTACACGCGAATGCTCCCGATTAGGGTGCACGATTATACATTTAAGGCATAAGTCCTTCGACAGTGAAAAAATGATCTTTATTTGCGTCGAATTAAAGGTTATTTCGTCTCGTCAGTTTTGGTTTTAAAGAGTAAATTTTATATTTAGTACATTGGTCACAATTATATATATATATACAAAATACATGATACATTCCGTTTATGACAAAATGATTATACAGGGATGGGTGTAATTTTATTTGTGAGTAAATATATTGAAATTAAGGTTCTCCTAACTGTGCTAATTGCATTCTAAAATCAATCATTAGGATTACATTTTCGGTGACTTAAGTGTAATCCCCAAACCGCCTGTCAAGTATAGAGATTATGACAAACCCCATCTAAGAGGATGGAAGATATTTATTTTTTATTTTTTACATCACTCCTTTTATCCCCGATAGGCAGAGCTGTTCATAACGGCACTAATGCCACTGTACAATGTAACACCCACTTTTCACTTATGTTGTGAGTCCCATGTAATAGGGGGTGAGACTACGAGTGAGAATTTCTTTAAAAAACTCAGTAATACTTTACCAGACCCGGGAATGGAACCCGAGACCCCTTGCATGGCAGCGACCACTCGACCAACGAGGCAGTGGGAGATATAAAGGTTGGTTTATGCACAATTGTATTATCTTTTTGATTAAGTAACAGTAGCTTACATGCACCTAGGGTCGATTTTTCCAACACCAGATAAATTTTAACTGAGTAATAACTTTGTATATTTGACAATTCTTCCAAACTAAAAACTGTCAAATGTCAATTCTACAGTTAACAATTAACTGATGATTGATAAATACGCCCTTAGTATCATTAGAAGAACTTCAATTTAAAATATTAATCACAAATTCAATTACATCAGTATAAATGTCATGTTAAATACTAATATTGTATAAATACTAATGTAATTTTAGGCTCGCTTTCATCACCAAATATCAAAACTACATGTCACTGTTTACATGTGAACATTAGCTCATGACGATACCTAAGTACGTGTGTCGCCTGGACAGTCTACGCTACATCCTTGTTGACTGGACAATCTCTGCACTACATGAGCTGCTGTTTACATGTGAACATTAGCTCATGACGATACTTGAGTACGTGAAAATGAGTCTAAAAGACAAATCTAATAATGTGGACTTAGATTTAACTATATTGCTATCTTTGTCACACTATACAAAATACAAGTGCGAGAAAGAGATAGCAATATAAAATCGGATCCTATGTCAAATGCTTTTAAGGAATAATGAAATGTTATATGAAATGAGTTTATGTGATATTATATACGATGTGTTGAAGTTCGTTGGATATTTTGAGAGGTCAATGAACTCTGCCTGCGACTCTTAATGCACAAATAGATGATGCCCGTTTTTCCGTTCCCGTGGGAATTTCGGGAAATCGTCTCTTAGTCATTTAGGAAATGTCGGCCTCATCGTTCGCTTGATAAAATTGACATGTAAAAGGGCTGCCTTGTTATTTACAGAAATAAATTCACTTGTTTCACTAGTGCTCCCTAGGCTACGCAAATAACATACATGCTAATTTTCAGCTTCCTAGTTCTAGTAGTTAAGGCTGTGCGTTGTCAAAATAATATTTTAAATGCTAAATGTTGTGTGCATATCTGTTACCTTCTTGTCGTGGTTGACACGACAAGAAGGTGAAAGCGATCGAGACGATTTTTGGAACTGTGGTACATTATGGTCTGTGGAATAACACATAGGGTACTTTTTACACAGAACGCGGGCAAAGCCGTTAGCAGAAGCTAGTATCTTCTTTAAACTCACACACACAATTACAACAAAAAACGTTTTTTTTTAAGTGGGGAAAATCACCGAATGACTTCGCCCGCCTGGGTGAGGCGGGAGGGAGTGTCAGTCTCTTACTGACTAAAAACCACCCCGTTCCTTCTCCTGCACGTCGAGCCGGAGCCCCGGTTACCCGTTAGGTTCTCCGCGACAACACAAAACGTATAAGATGTTAATTTAGTTCGCTATGAATAAGATCACTAAAATTAACTAAAAATCGCGGGATATACTAAGAAAAGGTCTACTAGTCGCGGTGATGTCCGCGCACGCTGCTCATGAGGACCACCCCTCTGTGCTTCGAAACTAGTAGAGCTTTTCTCAGTATATTCACGTGAGTGACTCGCGATTTTTAGTTACATCACTAAAACCGACAACAATCATGGGACCGATAATATCACGTGCGTAACCTTCACCACTACCAACGAAAGTCCAAACTGTGTAAGTGGAGAATTGTATTGTGAACCTGATTGGAAAAGAGTAACCTATGGAGTTTCTAGCTCGTTCTTCTCCATAGGAATCTACACCTTGGAATGAGCAAATAGCTTCACTTTAAAATTTCTATTGAACATAACATAA